AACAAAGGTGAAGATTCGGCCTCTCCATGCTTCCTGTAAATATATAAGATATGAAAGGTCTTGAATTCTTGACAAGCCAAATCTTAAATCAGTACTGAACTTTGCAAAGCCATAGCAACATTCTGGACTACCATAAGACCAAATTCTTAGCTATATTTCAAGAGAAATGAGTTATGCTGTATTTTTCAACTGTGGTTATTAGATTAAAAGTACTTTACCTTAGCGCCAACTGAGATGACGATGAAGAAGATCCATTTGCCCATGGAAGAGGAGCAGATTCACTGGCAGCAGACTTAGAGGCCAAAGGGCGCTGGCGAACGAATGGGTTTGTTGATTCTTTTGAAGCGTTTGAAGAGAAAAGTTGTCTTCGATTTTCATGGATTTTCATGTTCTGCAACACATACCAGAAATCATAGCTCAGTCTACACCATTGCACTAGCAATAAAGTAAGAGTGACTTATGAATACCATGCCCAAGGAAACAAAGAAAGAACCTCGGTTCTCAGAGTAAGAACATCTTTAAACTCTTTGGTAGTGTCCATCAGGCGATTCTTTAAACTGTCGACAACTGTTGCTGAGTGAGTAGTTGTGTCTCTAGAGACGTTCCCTTCATCATTTCGAGAGTTTTGAACAACTTGAAGGTCGAGCAAAGCGGTATTTAGAGCAGAGATCTCTTGTTTGATTACCGCCGTCAACTCTTGTATCTCCTGTGTGGGATCATCAAAAACCGAAGTCCTTTTCGCAACTGATTTGCAACAAAACCACAAGTTACATCAATGAGGTATACACAACAGCCATGCATTCTACTCAATTCAAGCTTTTGCTAACATAATCTATGAAAACTCTACCAGTGGTTACATCTTAAGCTACGATTTAGATCAGCTTTTGGTTTCAAAAGATCGTTCTAATTCCTAACCAAGCCATTACAGGATTCACGGAAGAAGAAGCTAAAATCATCCAGATTCACGAATGAGCCACTGAAAAAAACTTACGTTTGGCCAGCTTCGATAGCTTCTGTGATGTCTGGTGAATAGCGAGACCGATCTTAGAAGCTCTTTTGCCGAACTCAGATTGGTTATTCATGGCGGATCTCGGATCCTCTCTTCTCGAACCATCGCTTCTACCACTACCATACGGCACATTATTCGCCGCCGGAGCAATTGATCTCCTCAGCGTTTCAACGATACCGAAGAATTCTTCCGTCCGATCTCGATACGATTGCCCATGCCGTACCGGCATTTTTCGTCCTCGATTCCTTGGATCTGATCTCTCGAGAGAACAAAAACAAAAATCGATGGGAATCTGGTGATTCGAAACTCAATCACCCACCCACCGTGTAGATTGGTAAATCGTGAAAGAGAAAACTCAAAATCAGAGGAAAAGAGATAAAACCGATCAAACGCGTCGGCATAATATTTCCATTTTGTCCATTGTGTTTCTAAATATCAAATCTTGGCCCTCTATTATATTTTTAAAAAAAATATGTTATCTAAAAAATTTTGTCCATGGATTCCTGATAAACCGGCCAGAGCCCCGAGAAGCTCAGGACGTCACACCCCGCAAGACCCCCAACTCCTCGTCAAAGATCTCATGAGACATAATTCGACGAAATGGGACGAATCTACACTCCAGGAGCTCTTCCACCCTGAGGACGTCGCCCGAATAATGGGGTTGAAACCTAGCAGAAGGTTTAACCTAGATGGATACGCTTGGAGCTACACAAAATCCGGATTATACACGGTCAAATCAGGCTATGAAGTTCTCCACGATATAAACAGCCTCGATCGGACCAATCAGACACTTGAACCTAGCATTACAAGCCTCCTTCGGCAAGT